TAAACTGTCAATTTCCTGGAGGAAGGCACGCTGCAGTGAAATAGCAGGTGGCCAAAACGCACTTCATATAACAGATAATATACAGAATAAGAGAAATAGGATTTCAGACATTTCGTAATGCTACATGGAAAGTTGAAGACATAACATTTGAATGAAACTGAGGATGCTTCAACCACATGGAATGTGCTTTGCAAAACTGGCGCTCAGAGGAGTCTGATGACATCATTTGGTTTGGCAATACTGTCTAGAATGGGGGTTCAGCCTGGGAGAGCATGCCATTTTGAGGAATCCAGTGCCCTGTTACCCCCTGAACTTTGATTCCATACCAAATCCCAGATCATCCATGGATAGTGTTGAACTTTAATCACATTTCCTGTTATGCTAGCCCTTTCTTTGTTTTTCCAAGATTCGTATGCAGAAATTTTGGCTCAGTTCACCATGACATCTGAATCATCAACCCCAAAGGTAATATTGTAATAACTACTGATTGCTTGTGGGGTAATGTAGATGAATCAGAGAACAGGCTACAATCCTTTATATACAGTACCTGGAAATTACAAGGAGTTGCCTTTTAAGAAATATAAAGTACCCTATTTTTCGGACTATAAGACACACCGGTGTATAAGACACACCAAGATTTCGAAGAGGTGTGCAAGAAAAAAAGTTTTTGCCCTCCCCGGCCCCCAGGAGCACTCTGCAGGCCTCCCAAAGCCCCCGCGTGCCCTGTTTTTGTGAAAAATGGCTCTGTTTTTCGCAAAAATGGGACATGCAGGGCAAAGCCAAAAATGGCTGTATTTAGTGTATAAGACGCACCAACATTTCCACCCTCTTTTAGGGGGATGGAGAAAGTGCGTCTTGTACTCCGAAAAGTACAGTATTCTGATGAAGTTCTCTGCTTGGACAAAATTATATGTATTTTGATCACTACTTCCAATTATCATCTGCAACTAAATACCACAATCTTTAACTGATTTGCTTTTATAAAGCCACAGCTGGACAAGAGAAAGATCACAAGAAGACATTTTGAGCACACAAAACTTAGTGTTCTTTGAGTGTTTAAGAACTTATTAAAATAAATATTATGCTCCTTCCAAATATTGTTTCAAGACAGTATTTATTGTGGTTTTCAAGCAAATGGCAACAACCTTGGAGCAAAGTTTTGGTCAACTTGCAGAAACAACAACAGAAGACTTTTAAGTGACTCATACATCTCATTTGCAAATTGCCCATGCACTATATTATGTACCAACCAATCTTCAGTTATGTAGTTATTTATTTTGCACCTTTATTATTTTTTATAAGTAACTCAAGGCAGTGAACATCGTTCTATTTTCCCCACCACAACAACTCTGTGAGGTAGGTGAGAGAAAGAGAGAGAGAAACTATCCAAAGTCACCAAGCCAGCTTTCATTCAACCCTAAAACTCAGCCTCCTGGTTTCTAGTCCAATACCTTAACCACTACACCAAGCTAGCTCTAATTTTTTAATTTATTAAATTAACTCATTAATTTCTTCTGCAAGCAGTCACTCATAGTTGTTCATAAATCGTAATAAAGATGTACTGGCTGGTTTTATAAATAGGAAAAGGAACATCCATTTCAATCTAAAACTGAATAATAAGGCCAGGTACAGCAGAAAAGATAGATAATATTTGCAAAAAGTTCAAGGTTTAGAAACATATGTCAAATTTTCAACATACTGTAATCATTCTAGTTGTTACCAAAGAGATTTAATTTTCAACATAACTGGCAAAGAAAAAATTGTATACATCTTTATAGTTTAGCTAAGAAAGCAAGCTAATTTCTACTGCTTACATTTTTGCATGATTCTATCAGCATTTTTCCGTATTCTACAAGGTTGTTTTATATAAAAACAAAAATTTAGACGTCTATGCTTTAGGTAGCCATAAGTCAACTTCAACTTTGGTAGGCATGCCCATTTTTAAATATCTGTTTGTCACAAATACATCTTTATTTTTCATTATATGCATGTACCTAAAAATACAATGATTAAGGAAGTCTTAAATGACTATGACAGCAATTCTAATGATACACTGTGAACAGGATACAAACTTACCAGCATATGAGAATATCTTGTATTAAACAGACATGTAATTTGAGGAGCCAATTTAGCGTAAATCCTTGCTTGTCCTTATTGCCTATTATTATCTAATAGTCAGTTAAACTAGTCTTTGAACTGGGCCTTTGTTCAACTAGCTGCCAGCTCAACAGGTGCTACCAGATAAGGGGCCAACTCTGTTCTCATGGTCAGAGAAAGCCATCAGCCAGTCTGTGATGCTTAGAAACGAATCTATCTTACTCTACCTAGATTCAAACATCACAATTTGGCATGCTTGATTTGGCTTAGCCAAACCCAGCCACCGTTCCTAATTTATCACCTAATGGCTACAGCATAGCACACAATTCAACAACCAAATCAGATAAATAATCCATCTATTTCAGCACCAGTGACTATTAGCAGCTCTCTAGACAACATTAATCCCAGCCCTATCTTTAAAAGCAACCTCAGTTTTACTAGCTTGAATGACTTCAGTCACACACGATGCACTGAAGGGATTTTATTATCAACAGTTATTTACTAGTGTCAGGATAAGGAACTTGTCCTTCAGATGTTATACTGTATAAATATATAATATTTAACATTTGTTGGCAACAGGAAAAGATGCCAATAAATATTAAACGCAGGACTTTTCTGTAAGGAAGTTATTCAGCTTCTAACTAGGTTTGTATCATCCAGTGATGTACTTTAATACTAGGTGCAAATTCCAATATATGCATAACGTAATGCCACTAATATTAATTTAAGACTATATTGCTAATTGCGTAAGTCTCAGCTAACAGCCAAACAGGACAACTGACAGTGGAAATGCTACATCAGAGATCACAGCAAAGAGTTCCTGTCCTGCCCTGAAATAAACATTTCTTTAATATTACTTGGTAACTTTGTTGCTTCAAACTGGTTGCATCTCACCTCCTACTTGACAACAAAGCTAAAGGTAGTATCTTTCACTGCACGAAGACAAGCAAATAGTTTACATGGTTATTCCATGTAAGGAATAAGACGAAAAAAACCTGTTCTTCATTGGCCTGCACATTTATTGTGTCAATTTTTGAAAAAATATTGAAGTTTGTGCATCTATTTGAAATGCATCTTCAAACAAACTAGAATGTAAACTATTCCTTACATGGAATAACCATGTAAACCATTTGCTTGTCTTCGTGCAGTGAAAGATACTACCTTTAGCTTTGTGTCAAGTAGGAGGTGAGATGCAACCAGTTTGAAGCAACAAAGTTACCAAGTAATATTAAAGAAATGTTTATTTCAGGGCAGGACAGGAACTCTTTGCTGTGATCTCTGATGTAGCATTTCCACTGTCAGTTGTCCTGTTTGGCTGTTAGCTGAGACTTACGCAATTAGCAATATAGTCTTAGGATTTCATTTGATGAAAAATTGGTGATCAAAGCAGAACAGCTGTTAATATTGGGCAGAGAAAAATATCTGGCAATCCTCAAACAAGATGGCATAAGAACCAGGGCCCTAAATATTCTTCTAGTCTTTTTGCCAACCGTACAACGTTCTTTGTAATTTTCTTGGTATTTCAATTAGTTCAAATCCGGCTCCACTGATGATGCAAAAGAGAGCCATAAGCACATTACTGTCTCGGGCAAAAGCTGCTTGCCTACAATTTGGCCTACCATAATCTCCTCCAGTACAAGGCAGATGGCTGAATTAATATTGTGTTTCATCAGAAGCCCTATGACTGAGCAACATTGCATATGAAGTTTCGCTATTAATAGGCTCTCAATGCACATATTATGCAGCGTACATATAACTGCAGCCATACAGTTAAACCGCTGGCTGAAACACTTTCCACCGCTCTAATGTAAGTACGATGACAGTACATTATCTTCCCATCATACTTCTGTGGTTTTTCTTTGGGTGGAAATCTTACCACGTGACATAAACACACTTAAAAACCAAAGGAGACTTTCCTCCGTGCAAATCTGAACAGCCCTACAGCAGAACTCCCATCGCTGGCATCCTACCATTTTAACCTGCCTCTTTCTTGGCCGTACCTACCCTAGACGTCTACACGTCGCAATTTCACACACGACCTCCTCCACCTGGCCTCACCATCTCACACACACACACACAGCTTTCTATCAGCAGCAAGCCGTGGGACCAAGCGCAATTCTGCCCAAAGGAAAGCCCCCCCCCCTTCCGCGCCATCCACCCGCGGCTCCCTTAATCCTCAGGGGAGGATTGCATCTTGCAAAAGCCCAGCCAGCCAAAGTCCCCAACCCTCTTTTCAAAGGTCTCCATTCCGGGTCAGGCGACCCCCGCTAACCCAACCTTTTCCCGCGACCGCCCGGCTTGCTCTTCTCCCGTCTTCCCCCCCCCTGATCGCCAGCTCTCTCGCTCAAGCTTCTCCAGCCGTTCCCGCTCCCTTCCTCCGACACTTCGCCAGGATCACCTGCTTTTCCAACCTTACGACCGACGATCGCGGCGGCGCCACGGACAGACGGACGGACGGCGGTGGCTGGCTTGAAGTTTCTTCCCAGCACTGTTCTTCCCGCCTCGGGGCAATTTTATCCCCCCCCCCCCCCCCGCCGCCGCCGCCGCGTTCCCAGGGAGAGAAAGAGGCCTTCGGGGCTGCCTCTTTCCCCGGCAACTCCCGGCAAGCTCGCCCCAATGCCGGCCACTTGCGGGGGTTTGTGGTTTGTTTCCTCCGCTCCCCTCTCCCTTCCCACCCTTTCCAAGCTGGCCCTTCGCCCGCGCGCTGCTTCTCCCCGACCGCCCGACCCAGCTACCGTCGGGAAGGCGAGGGCGAGAAGCGAAAGGGGGCCGCTTATTACTCGCTCGGCGGCTGCAAAAAAAAAAAAGGACGGGACTCCCCGGGCTGGTAAGACGGGAACCCACGTCAGGCTCTTCTGAGCGGCCTCGGGGAGCTGCTTTATTTATTATTATTATTATTTTACCTGCACCGGGAGAAGCGCGCGCTGAGAACGCAGCAGCAGCAGCGGCGGCGGAGGCAGCGGCAGCCGTGGAGTCCCGGACGTAGCAGGGAGGGTCTGTTGAGCAAGCAGCAGGAGAACGACGACTCCGCCACGTGATGGGCCCTGTCCGCTTGCGCAGCCGTCTTACGTCTCGGTGGCTCCGCCTGGCGAAGGAAGGGAGGGAGGGAGGCGGCGGCGCGAAAGGCGAGGTGGCCGGCGAGCCTCTTCGGGTGTGGGGAGCGCGCCGGGTCTGAGGCGACGAGTTGCAACGTTTCCCCGGGTTGAATTGAACTCCCCTGAAGGGGACACACAACACAACACAACACACACACACACTGACAGTGAAAACAATCAGCCATTGGAACGGCTTGCCTTTCAGAAGTCGTGACTTGGCTTCATGACTGGGAGTTTTCAAGAAGAGACTGGACTGCCATCTGTCAAAAACGGCAGCATACGGTCTCCTGCTTGAGGGGGGAGGAGAGGTTTAACAGATTAACTGGGGGGGGGGAGGTTGCGAGACGGTATTCCAGGGGGTGTGAAAATTTGGGTTGAGAACTTTCTAAATTTATAGTTTATATGCATAATTGTTGTTGTTAGTTGTTAAATTGTGTCCGACCCATCGTCCTCCAGGTCTTCCTGTTCTCTTACCATCCTCTGGAGTCCATTTAAGCTCACGCCCAGTGGTGGGATTCAGCCACTTCGCACCACTTCGGGAGAACCGGTTAACTTTCTGAGCAGTTTGGCAAACTGGTCGTTGAAAGAAATCATTAGGGCAGAGAACCGGTTGTTAAATTACTTGAATCCCACCACTGCTCAAGCCTACTGCTTCAGTGACTCCATCCAGCCACCTCGTTCTCTGTCATCCCCTTCTTTTTTTGCCCTCCATCTTTCCCAGCATTAGTCTCTTCTCCAGGGAGTCCTTCCTTCTCATTAGGCGGCCAAAGTATTTGAGTTTCATCTTCAGGATCTCACTGCCTAAAGAGCAGTCAGGGTTGATCTCCTCTAGGACTGACCGGTTTAATCGCCTTGCAGTCCAAGGAGTCTTCTCCAGCACCATAGGTTCAAAGGCCTCAATTTTTTGGCGCTCAGCCTTTCTTATGGTCCAACTTTCACAGCCATACATTGCAACTGGGAAAACCATAGCCCTGACTGCATGCTGCTCTCAAAAAGTGTACATGCATATAATTGTTTACTTTTGTAAGGGGTGCGAGAATATATCAGAAGCGTTCTAGGGGTACAGAGTATAGAAAAAGGTTGAGAACCCCTGGATTAACAGATGAGTTGGAAGGGACTTTATAGGTCATCTAGTCCAACCCTCCAGGGGACTCTACACCATTGGTTGGACTAGATGAGATACAAGGTCTCTTCCAACTCTACTATTCTGTTCTATTTTGGTCTCAGGGGTGTGGCTGCTCAGGCTGGCACTGACTCGAGAGGGCAATGAATCACTCCCTGAAAGTAAAATGATCCTCGGATCAAGGTCCACTCCTAGATTGCATAGAGCAGGTCCTAGGGTTTTGCAATTCCTCTCCCCTCTAGCTAAAAGCTTTGGCTTTTCTTATCCATCTACAGGTAGTCCTCAACTTTAAAACAGTTCATTTGGTTACAACGGCTCTTGAAAAAAGTGACTTGTTTTCATGCTTGCAAACTTTGCAGCATCTCCACGATCATGTGATCAAAATTCAGACACTCGGCAACTGGCTCCTACTTATGACTGTGTCACCTTTTGCAACCTTTTGACAAGCAAATTCAATGGGGAATTCAGATTCACTTATAATAACCAAATTACTAACTTAACAACTGCAGTGATTCATTTAACAACTGTGGCAAGAAAAGGTTGAAAAATGTCTCATTTAACAACATAAATGTTGGGCTCAATTGTGGCCATAAGTTGAGGACTACCTGTATCTAAATATGTACCAGGCATGATCCTCATTAGCCTCTGGATGCTGAACAAGTTTGTCAACTTGTGGCCCCCCCATGGCCAGGGGGGCTTTCTATCAGATTCGCCTGATTCGCCAGTTGCAGCCCTTTCTGGATCGCGACGCCTTGCGCACTTGTCATCTCCCGACTGGACTACTGTAATGTTCTCTACATGGGGCTCCCCTTGAAAAGCACCCGGAGGTTCCAACTGGTCCAGAATGCAGCCGCGCAGGTGGTTAATGGGCGCAACTCGTTGTGCCCACGTGACACCCCTCCTGCGTGAGCTGCACTGGCTCCCAGTGGTCTTCCGGGTGCAATTTGAGGTGTTGGTTATCACCTTTAAAGCGCTCCATGGCATTGGACCTGGGTACCTTCAAGACCATCTTCTGCTACCAGTAGCCTCCCACCGGCTAGTCCGCTCCCACAGAGAGGGTCTCCTCAGGGTGCCATCGGCCAAATTATGTCGGCTGGCGACACCCAGGGGGAGGGCCTTCTCTGTGGGAGCTCCTGCCCTTTGGAATGAACTGCCCCCAGAAATGCGTAAGATCTCCGACCTCCGTATATTTCGCTGTGCCCTCAAAACCTTGTTCCGCCAGGCCGGGCTATCAATGTAAAGATTTTAATTGGTTTTAAATGTGGGATTTTAAATTAATTATTTTTAAATTTTGTCTGTCTTTGTGTTTTTAATCAGGCTGTACACCGCCCTGAGTCCTTCGGGAGAAGGGCGGTATAGAAATAAAATTATTATTATTAGTAGTAGTAGTAGTAGTAGTAGTAGTAGTAGTAGTAGTAGTAGTAGTATTATCTGACGGGATTTGCTGGTACCCAAATATCTTGTACCCGCCCCTCCCCGCTAGTGTGTTTGTAGGATCCTGGGTTTGTAAAATGCACAATATTAGGCATAGGTAAGTTTATGATCTGGTGTGTCCTGTGAGTAAAGCTGAAACAAGTGATGACTACCACAATTGAGCCCAAAATTTCTGTTGCTAAGTGAAATATTTGTTAAGTGAGATTTTGCCCCATTTTACGATCATTCTTGCCATAGCTGTTAAAAGCCTCTGATGATCGTGCGGCTCAGCTGGGATCATCAGAGGCTTTTAAAAGAAAAAGAAGCCTCTGATGATCGTGCGGCTCAGCTGGGATCATCAGAGGCTTTTAAAAATATTTTCTTACATTAAAACTTACAATGGTTTTAAAAGTAAAAAAAAAAGTTAGCCACGCCCACCCAGTCACATTACCCCACCACCAAGCCATGCCCACAGAACCATTAGTAACAAATTTTACATTTCACCACTGCCTTGGACCCCCTCTCCTGATTTGCCTAACAAGTTTATTGTGAATGTACAGAGTGACAAGAAATTTCTGCAAAAAAAAAAGTGAAAAGAATAGTAAGGCCCGAGAGAAAACATGATATATGAGTCACGTCCAGTTGTTCTTAAAATGGGTGGGTATATAAATGCCTTCATTAAAACAAAATAAAGTACAGTACAGTATAACCTGTCCTTATGCTTAGATGGTATCTCAGCTGCTTTATCTTATTCCAGAGTTATTGTACCATCAGGTCCTAGAAGCCAGTAAAAGGACTGGCCAATTCATGAATCAGCACATTTATATTTAATGTGGTGTAACTTTAATGATGATATGTTTGTTCCCAGAAGTGAAGTTTATTACCTCAAGTTTATTATTACTTGAAATTAAGAGTTGGGTGTGTAAAATAAAGATTGTGGCAAATATATTGTCATGCTTGCACAGAAATAATCCCATTGAGTTCAAGCATGGATAAATTACATATACATTCAGTGGATACTGAAAAGATTTCTTCAAGTGTGAAAAAAGCAACCGTGATAGGAAAAAGAGCTAACTAAATATATTTCAGCGTGATAAATTGCTGCTAAAATAATGAAACTAATAACAAACTAAATCTGTTTTTCATTGCTTACTACCCGATAACCTGGCGTTGCCCGGGTATTTATAGACGTCGAAGCGTTTGTCTGACAGGGGCCTTTCTTCCCCCTACTCCCATGCCCATCATCCCTGCCCTCTCCCTTCCCCCTCCCATGTGCTCCTCTTTCCCACCTGTCTACAATCCTGGCACTTTGCCCCAAATCCATCAGGCACTTCCCCATTGGAAGGCAAACGTCATGGCTGGTTTTCCAGAGGAAGGTGCGAAGGAACTGACATCACAAACAATTGCCGCTCTAGGATACCTCACTCTCCGCCCAGGGGTTCCACAGTTATGCTGGAACATACACACAGGCACGCACACACACACACACACACACACACACACACACACACACACACCAGGGATGTTTCTCCCCCCTGCCCCCCCAGTATTTGTTTTCAGAGGATAAGTCATCTGTGTGCCAAGCCATCCACACAGTTCTTCTTGTATGACTGGCATCTATATAACCCCAAAGCATAACACAATCACTCCAGTGTGTATTAACTGGCAGGCTATTTTTCTCTCCAAACATGATTGGGGCTCAACAGTTTAATTTTTGTTTCGCCAGTCCAAAGTATCTTCTTGCAAAATGGTTCAAGTTTTATCAACATTTTCTTTTGATATTTTAGAAAGTGACCCTTGTGGTGGAGTATAGATGTGCTTTTGACAATTCTTCCCTGCTTGTATAAAGCAGTCCTATTATAGATCTCCAATATCGGATAAACTTTTCATTGATTTGGGGGTTCTGTTTGGAAGCGCTGACCAGTTTCTGGGAAGCTCATGCAGAAAGGTCGGTAGTTCAGCGGTTCGAATCTCTAGTACAGGTCTCCTGCATGAGCAGGGGGTTGGACTAGATGACCTCCAAAGTCCCTTCCAACTCTGTTACTGTTACTGAATTAACTGTCAGTGAATTAATTGAAACTGAAAAGAATGTAGGTGTTTCAGCAAGACAGTGAAATATACCTTTGAGATCAACCGTGAAATAGTTACAGTAAAGAAAAATAAAAGTTCCCAGTCCCCAGATAAGTATATCACTGCAAATATTCAGGGAGATCTGAAGCATGCAGGGACCAGTTGGTCTAGTGGTTAAAGTACCTGGAGACTGTGAGTGCCAATCCTGCCTTAGGCATGAAAGCCAATTGGATAACCAGCCACTCACTCTTAGCCCAACTAAACCTCATAGAGTTGTGGGGAAAATGGTAGAAGGAAGTATGTAG